GGGAGCCCGGAGAGGCTTTGCTGGCAGCTGGTGTTGGTGGCTGGAGGCAGCCCAGCTCCCCACAGCCACCCTGCTCAGCTCCAAGTTGTGTTTATACCAAAACCCTCCAGGGTCTGAGCTGTCTAGTGCTGAAGGGGGGAAGGAGGCTGACAGCAACCAGCTGACTTGGGGAAGGGCCCTGGAGAAGCTGTGGCTGCTGGAAATGGTCCATGAAGAGCCATCACCCCAGTGCAGGGAGGGGGCCAGCACGAGCCGAGGCCATGTCCCGCTCCCCGGGGCCGTGGCCAGAGCGGGCACGTTCCCTAACGCTGCACAACAAACAGCAGTGAGCCCTGCTGGGAGAGCGGGGCTTGGCAGAAATTAAACATTAGGCTGTTCCAGGACAGCAGATGTATTGTGTTGCCAAGCCCTGAAGGGTCTGTGGTAAACTGACATGAATCAAACCTCTTGTTTAATTACCAGGCAGCTGTGAGATGCTGTGCCCACCCGAGGAGGGGCCACCGAGGGCCCCAGCGTTGCCCTGCCCCACTGGGACTGCACTGTCAGTGCTGAGCTGGGCAGTCCTGCTCTCCCTGCCCATGGGAAAATCCTACTGGTGAGACCAGCCTAGCCTGGATCCAGCTTGGATCCTCTGCATGGAAGAGCAGAGGAGTGCAGGAGCCCTGGGATCACAGCCCTGGGATGCACATCTTGCTCCCTCAGCATGACAGATGTGACAGCAGTAACTTTTCTCCAGCTCTAAATGACTTTCCAGCCCCTGCCTGAGCAATGTTCCTTATCCTGGCACCAAAGATTCCTGCAGGGCTGTGAGTGCTGCCCCAGCCCCTGGGATGTTCTGCTGAGGGGACCTATCCCTGGCCCCAGCACTGTGGCTTCACCACAAACCCCGGAGATGCAGCTGAATATGGAACTGCTGACCTGTGATTCTGTGACCCGGCCACCAGCCAGCCTCTTACCTTCCCAGGGCTCCATGGTGAGGGTCAGCAGGTCCTTCAAGCCGCACTGGGGCCCCACGATGCCGTTGTAGCTGGCGGTGCGGGCGCAGAGCATCAGCCTGCAGACCCGCTCCGTGTCCGTGTTGTTGTTGATGACAGCGAAGACCGTGAAGTCGCTGGCCTTGGTTCGCC